TCCCCGGGTTTTGTGACACACACACACGCACACCGCAAGGATTTTTTTTTGTCTTGGTCCTGAAGCTTTTGTGGGTGGGGGGGGGGGATAGGGCCCTCCCCAAATAACCCTCTGGGGGGGTTTGATTGCATTGCAATTTGTGTTTTTTCCCCCCCTCTAGTTGCAATGGGAGGGCCTTACCCTCCCATTGGAAAGGAAGTAGGTGTGTAATTTTAAATATATATTTCTAAAAATGTGGTATAGGTTTTGGAGATGCTAATTGCCCAAGCGGGCAGTTTTATTGGTATTAAATTAAATTACCTTCTCCTTCCTTCCTCCCTTTCCCTCCTGCCTTCTTTTTTCTTATTTAATGCATTTTCTCTTCTCCTCTTTCTCCTTTTTCTTTTTCTCCTTTTTGCTCTTCTGATTCCCCTCACCTTGCTCTTTTTTCTCCTTTTTCTTTTCCTCCTTCTCTTTCTCCATTCTCCTTCCTTTTTTCCCCTCCTTCTCTCCTCCTCCCCCTTCCTTTTCTTCTTTCCTCCCCTTTTCCTCTTCTCCTTCCTTCCTTCTTTCTTTCCCCCTTCTCTTTCCCTTACCTTCCCTTCCTCCCTTTTATCTTTCAGGCAAACTTTATCCTGTTTACCAAAATTATCAAAGTTCTTGCAACAAAACTCCGAGAAACAAACGCTGGGAGATGTGACACCAGACAACAGTATCGGTAAGCAGATAATTATCCCCCCCTTTCCATGAGGGATTCCTCTGGGCCAGAACTGAGCGACAAAACAGAGATAAATGAGAGCAGAATTCAGTTTCAGGAAGAGCCCATGGAAAACTGAGGTCCCCCATTATCCAAAGCCAGGAAAAGAAAAGGTGAAAGGAAAATGAAGGGAAGGAAACAGAGAAGAAGGGAAGGGAAGGAAAGAGGAATGGAGGGAGGGAGGAAGGAAAGAAGGATAAGGGGAACAGGAAGAGAAGGAAGGGAAAGAGGGAAAAATGAAAGAAAGAATGAAAGAAAGAAGGGGAAAGGACGGGGAGTAGGAATAAGGTAGGAAGGGGAAAGAACATGGGAATAGAGGAAAGGAAAGGAGGGAGGGAGAGATGGAGGGGAAGAAGGAACGTGAAAAAAGGAAGAAGAAGAAAGGAATGGGTAGAAAAAAGGAAAGTGAATAGGAAGAGAAGGAAAAAGAGAAGAGGAAAAGGAAAGGAAGGGAAAGGTGAAAGGTAAATGAAGGGAAGGAAACAGAGGAAGGGAAGGAAAGGAAAGAGAAATGAAGGGGGGAAAGAAGGATAAGGGGAACAGGAAGAGAAGGAAGGGAAAGAGGGAGAAATGAAAGAAAGAAGGAAAGAAAGAAGGGGAAAGGAATGGGAATAGGAATAAGGTAGGAAGGGGAAAGAACATGGGAATAGAGGAAAGGAAAGGAGGGAGAGATGGAGGGGAAGAAGGAACGTGAAAAAAGGAAGAAGAAGAAAGGAATGGGTAGAAAAAAGGAAAGTGAAGAGGAAGAGAAGGAAAAAGAGAGGAAGAGGAAGGGAAGGAGAGAGGAGGGAGGAAAGAAGGGGAAGGAAAATGTGAAGGAGACCCATGCAACAGCTGTCAGTCATCCCCATGACCCCAGTAGAAGTGGCATCCTGCATGCAGATAACCACATCTGGCCCCCTCCGCCAGCTGTGCCCCAGAGGGAGCCTCCTCTGGCTGCAAACGAGGCCGACACGGAGGCGGAAGAAACCCATTCGGTCTCGCCGAATCTGGAGGCAATTAGCGAAAGGGGGCACCAAGGCCTATGTTGCAGGGGGGAGCGCTCCCCACCTCTGGCACGGTCTCCCGGCTGGAAAAACACCCTCCAACCTCCCGGCTGCATCCAAACCGACATTCATAGCAACCCTCCAAGAGGGTGAAATAAATCTCAGAGGAAATGATAGGCTGAGAACGAAACTTTGAGGTTTTGCAAAGCCCGGCCAAGCATCCCCGCTGGTCTCGCCTGCTTTAAATTAAAATATTTGCTTTCCAAATTCNGCTTTAAGAGGGGAGGACTTCCACTCCCAGAATCCCCCAGTCAGCTATGCTTTAAGAGGGGAGGACTTCCACTCCCAGAATCCCCCAGCCAGCATGATTTAAGAGGGGGGACTTCCACTCCCAGAATTCATCAGGAAGAACATTAAATCCTAGGGCTGGAAGTAACCCGAGAGGTCATCTAGTCGAACCCCAAATTCAAGGCAGGAGACCTTACAGGTAGTCCTCAACTTAACTCTCCCCTTGATCCAAACATCTCTTTGGCTGGGCCACACCTCAATTCTGTGAGTTCCCCCCCCCATTTTCCCACCTTGCTCGCCACAGTGTGTTAAGCGGATCACTGCTGTTATTAAGTGAGTAGCAGTGGGTTGTTAAATGAATCTGCCCTCCCTGTTGACGTTCACCATCAGAAGGACCCCGGGAGGCACTGCAACCATCATAAATATGAGTCCGTCGCCAAGCTTCCGAATTTTGATCCTGGGGGGGGGGGATACTGCAGGAGGTCGTGAGTGTGAAAAACGATTGGTTCTGTCACTAAACAGACGGTTATATGTCGAGGACTCCCTGTGTAGCATCCCGGTCCAATAGAGTTATCCACTTTTATTTTGGAAACCTCCAGCAAAATCCGTGCAATGGGGCAGAAGCGCAGATGTTGAGCAGAGGTGTCTCCCCAGTCTGCAAGGCGCAATTAACTGGAGAAACACACACAAAAAACACACACACACACACACAACCAGACACACCACCCCGTGACATGAGCGAAGCCACCCCAATCCCTTGGGGCGTCTGCAGACCTCAAAATCGAAGCCATCCCCAGCTTCTTTTGGATTTAGGGAAGACAACATTTGGGGGGGAAATTCAAGTGGGCTTCCCAGCCTGAGAAAGTTTTGAGCCAAAGAAAGCAATGTGTTCCGGGGCGAACCATTGTTCTGTGGTCAGTGGACCGTAAACGGAAAGATTTCTGCAAGGTTGGCACTTGACCCGTCTTCTCCGGCCAGCTTCCGACTATCCCCCCCCTCCTCCCTTCAGATTGTCTGGGTGGTCCAATCAAGGGGGAGGGGGAGAGGCTGGAGGACATAGGATAACTGGAATAGCCTGTGGTTAGACCTCAAAGCAGGTNATTGCTGTATTGTTACCGTCCCAAATGAATATCTCAGTCTTTATCAGCTGAGTTTTGATAACTGGCGATTCTGAGAATAACAGTTGAGGTCTGGCTCAACTAAATACCCAAAACTATTTATGAAAAGACATTCCAATTCCCCGACTGAAATGGTCGTAAGTCAAAGGACTGCCTGTAAATCAAAGCTGCAAACCTCCTGGCAACAATTCGAGGTTGTGTGTGGCGTTGCGGTTGTTCAGTTGCTTTGCTGCGGCATTTTAGCTCCAGAGTTGCAGGGATATACGACCCAGCAGGTATAAGAAACACCTGCAAAGTTCAGAAATCTTATGCAATGCAACAGCCTCCCCACACCCCAAACACAGCCTGTTAGCTACCATCTTTCTATCATTTCCTTTGATTGACAGCTTGTTTTTCCTCCAAAAACTGAAAAAAACCCTAGCCTTCCTCACGTCCGTCCCCCCCAACTCCATCCCATCGGTGTCATAAAACCAAAATTCAGATTATATGCCACAGCTTGGCAAAGGATGTTTGAAAAAAAACCAAAAAATGCAGGACCAAACGAAAAGAGAAACTTTTGCAAAGAAAAAGCAGATTTTTATTTTTTATTTTAAAACCCCTCACCTGCCAAAATCCACCTTGGAAGAGAAATATTCCTTGAAATATTGGCTGGGAAAACTTGGGACGCCTGATCTGCATTAACGGGGCTCATCTTTCCCTGAAGTAGAAAGGAAAAAAAAAGCCATTGTCTCTCTCTCTCAAAAATTAGCCAATTTTCTTTTTATTATCTCATAAGATGCTGCCTGTTGCAAGTCCAGCTTTTCCAACAGGACTGTCCAAGTAGAAGGCAGGCTGTAAATTACATTACTTTATGTGACAATAAAACATAATGAGGCTGTGGAGATTTTTATTTTATTTATTTCCCTTTGCCAAAGGCTTGGGAAGTTGGCCTGTATGGGCTGGGGAGGGGGGAAAAATCCCTCCGTTCGTGTGGATAATGGTTCCTCTCAGAGATAGGTGCCCATGTTATCTGGCTTCCACAGCCAAATCAGAAGGTAGAAATGCTGGAAAAAAAATGTTGGAAAAAGAAGAATCGGCTTCCTAAACCGGATTAAATCCAACCAGCGGACAGATTTGCAAAATTAAATGTTTTACTATCTGGTCTTCCGGAAAAAATGTTTGGCTCCGTTGTCCTTATTCAACCAACGGGGATCACCTGGTGGTCTACTTTCCACTTGTATTGTTCTATCGTTATGCACCTAAAGGGATTAGACGGAAGACCACTTATTATTTGATTGCTTATTGCTAATAACCCACAAATAATTTCCAAATGGTTTCTGTAAAACGCTGCCTTTTTCTTACAGAGCTGCAGATTCTTAAAAAAAACAAATGTTAATGGCAGGATGGCAGGCAGGAGAGAAGGGCAAAGGAGAAGGGGAAGGAAGGAAGGAAGGAAGGAAGGAAGGAAGGAAGGAAGGAAGGGCAGAGGAGAAGGGAAAGGAAGGAGGAAAAAGGGAAGGAAGCAAAGGGAAGATGGGAAAAAGGAGAGAAGGGCAGAGGAAAAGGAAGGAAAGGGAAAAAATGGGGGAGGGAAGGAAGGGGAGAAGGAAGAAGGAAAGAAAAGGAGAGAAGAGCAGAGGAAAAGGGGAAGAAAAGGAATAAAGAAGGAAAGAAGGAAGGAGAAAGGAAGGAAGGAAAGAAGGAAACAAAAAAGGAGAGAAGAGCAGAGGAAAAGGGGAAGGTAAGAAGGTAGAGGGAAGGAGGGAAGGAAGAAGGAAAGAAAAAGGGAAGGGCAGAGGAAAAGGGGAAGGAAAGGAAAAGGGGAAGGTAGGAAAGGAGAGAGAAAGGAAAGAAGGGCAGAGGGGAAGGAGGAAAAAGTGGGGAGGTAGGAAGGGGAGAAGGAAGAAGGAAATAAAAAGGAGAGAGGAGCAGAGGAAAAGGGGAAGGTAAGAAGGAAAAGGAGGAAGGAAGGAGGCAGAAAGAAAAAAGAGGAATGTAGGTAGCTATGTAGGTAGACAGGAAGGTCTCCTTGCATTATGGACGTCTCAAGGGAGATAAGGGTTCACTTTGATTGACAGATGACATATGTCAGGGTTGACCCTTAGTGGCCACGTAGACTCACCGGCCTCCTCCTGGGAGGTCCCTTCTGCTTCTCTCCTCTTCTTCCCTTCCGCCCCTCCGCCATCATGGGCCTCTTCCCTTCATCTGTCTAAAATAGTAGTCCTCGACTTACAATGCCTCATTGAGTGACCGGTTTAAGTTACGACGGCACTGAAAGAAATGAGCCATGGCCATGGTTCATACTTACGACCATTGCAGCCTCCCTGTGGCCATGTGATCAAAACTCAGATGCTTAGCAACTGACTCGTAGTTATGACCGTTGCTGCGTCCCGGGGTTAAACAATCCCGTTTTGCGACCCTCTGAGTGGCAAATCCAACGGGGGGGAACCAGATTCACTTAACAACCATATTACGAATTTGGCAACTGTAATGATTCATTTAACCACTGTGACCCGAAAGGTTGTAAAATAGGGCAAAATTCACTTAACAACTCCCACACTTAGAAAATGGGAATTGTGGTCGTAAGTCAAGGACTACCTGTGATTTGAACCTGGTCAATTGTACCTCAAGTAAAGTGTTAACCAGACAACAACACAACCCTCCTCACTTCTCACACACACACACGCACACACACACACACACCAGGAAGGTTGCTGTAGACAAATATGAAATATTGATCTGATTCTGAGACTCATTCCCCGCTTTCCGTCTTTCAGGCCTTCCGGCTGTGTTTGTCACAATCTGGGCAACCCTTCGAGCAACGTTAGCAGACACAGAGTGAGTCCCGAGTTTGTTCTGTGTGGATTTCTTTCTTCCTTCCTTTTTTTTAAAAAAAATGCTTTATCTGACTTTGAATCCTGCAGGAAAAGTTTTATTTGCACAAAATCAGAAGTCACCTAAAAAAAAAAAAACCCCTGAGCTTTGTAACACTATAAACATGGAACAGAGATAATATGATAGATGGAAGTAGAGGATGATAGGTAGGTAGATAGGTAGGTAGGTAGGTAGGTGGATGGATAGATAGCTAGATAGCTAGCTAGATCATAGATAGATAGATAGATAGATAGATAGATAGATAGATAGATAGATAGATAGATAGATAGATAGATTAAACATAGCAGATAAGAGAGAGATTAGAGAGAGAGAGAGATATTAGAGGTAGACAGACAGTGGTAGAGATGAATGGATGGATGGATGGAAGGATTAAAGATAGAAATATAGATATTTGCCAAATTATTTCATTAATACGTATGTATGTATGTATATGTGTATATGTGTGCATATATATGTGTGTGTTTGTGTGTGTAATGCATGTATATATGTGTGTATATATACACAGACACACATACAGTATGTATGTGTATATATGTATATGTATGTTTTATTTGTGCTAAATAAAATAAATATATTTGTGTTTTATTTTAATAAACAAAACACAAATATAACAAAGGCAACAGTAAAAATATTGGGTTTCTGTCGTGATGGACTCTTGTGACGAGCCAATTGACAGATGATGGAAGCAGTTAGCTTCCTCCCATAATTGGGGCTTACCAGGGGTTGTGACACTAAATATATATCTATATG